GGCAGGAGAACCAACAGAACCATCCTCACGCTATCTTACATTACATATAGGTGTTGAGCGTTGAGGCGTCTTGCATGGGCGTTATAGATCATGCCCAGTGACTTCTTTTCTGTTCAAGAAAAGGCCATCATGGCTAACTTTATTTTTATCGTATAAAATAGTTACATTATCCACAAGTTTGTCGGGAATAAAGCTAGGGGGGCTCATCGACCCAAATACAAGTGAATTTCAAGTCATGCCAAAATTTGGCTACATCAAGAGCCTGGCCATTTGCCTGTGGTCAGTGGATGCCCAGCCGCTCCTTTCACCTCTATATTTGGCTGCATCAAGAGCTAGACCATTCTGCACGTGCCTTAGTGTAGAGCTTGGGAAGATCGTCTAGAGACGGCAAGGAGCAGCAGCTTGCAAGCTACTCCCTTAATCCGATAATATAAGATGTTATTATAACCAATATAGAAGTGATGTCCATCGCCACCATTGTCGTGCAAACCTCCAGAGGTTCACATTTATCTCCACGCGCAATGTGAGATGAAGACACATAAGTCGTTGATCTTCTCCACCATGAACCATGTGTAAAACAATTTGCACCTCCTCTCATGATAGTATTCAACGCTAGCAACCCAAACCTGCTTGGCAGAGAGCCATGGTTGTTAAAAATCGTATCGGTTTAGAAAAATATATTAAAATTGACAACATGGGATTTCCCCCCCTTATATATGACGTGTGGATAGTTGTGTGGTCGTCAATCTTTTTGATCTGTTAGTCAAAAATATATATATTGAAATTGATACTGCCAAGTATATATATACCAAGAAACGAACTTTCAATATTTAGTAATTTCCCTTTTGGTAGAAACTAATGCTAGAAACATCACATTGAAGACTGTATCGGTGTACTGATAAAAGAATTTAATAAAAAAACTTCAGAAAAAATGTTAACAAAATAAAGATAACTATAATAACTAATTCAGATGCATTAAGATATCTACCCATCCATCCAAAAATACCAAGGTGAAAATGGTTCCATGCACACCCACCTTAATAGTAAATTTGGAAAAGAAAATACTAGGAAAACTTTAAAAATTATGAAAGTTTGGGTTATCAAACTTGGTATGCCATTATACCCACGTGTGAAGTTTTTCGACCACAGCTCAAAACGAAATAAAAAAGAAATAAAAAATAAGTGGCTGACCACAGCTCAAAAAGAAATTAAAAAAAAAATAAGTGGCTCCCGGCCCTCCCCAGCTTCCCCGTCTACCCCGGCACGCGGCTCCCGGCCCTCGCCGCCTCCTCCGACGGCGTCGACCGCATCAGCCGCCTCCCCGACGAGCCCCTGCGCAACATCGTCGCCCGCCTCCCCGTCAAGGACGCCGCGCGCACCGCCGTGCTCTCCTCCCGCTGGCGCGCGCTCTGGCCCTCCACGCCCCTCGTCCTCGTCGACTCCTTCCTCCTCCCCAAAGGCCAGGGCTTCCGCCCCACCCCGGCCAGCTCGCCGGCCGTCACGGCCGCCGTCTCCGACATCCTCGAGGCGCACCCGGGGCCCTTCCGCTGCATCCACCTCGTTTGCACTCAGAGCGCGTACCGGAACCAGAACCAGCTCGCGCGCTGGCTCCAGCTCCTCGCCGCCAAGGCCGTCCAGGACCTCGTCCTCGTCAACCGCCCGTGGCCGCGCGACGTGCCCCTCCCGCCCACGATCTTCGCCATCACCACCCTCACCCGCCTCTACGTCGGCCTGTGGAAGCTGCCGGACACGGCCGCCCTGCGCGGCGCCTCCTTCCCCCACCTCCGCGAGCTCGGCCTCTGCTGCGTCGAAATGGAGCAGGGCGTGGTGGACTCCCTCGTCGCCAGGAGCCCGTCCTGGAGGTCCTCAACATCCTGGGATGCATCAATGGGCTGCGCCTCCGCCTCCTCAGCCAGAGCCTACGCTGCCTGCAGATCAGCTGCTCGAAAATGGAGCACATCGCCGTGGTGAAGGCTCCGTGCCTCGAGCGGCTCATCCTTTTTGGATCTGGCAAAATCGATGGCGGCTTGTGCAGCAGACTCAAGATTGGCGATGTCCCCAAGCTGCACGCTTTTGGATACTTGGATCCAGGCCAGGTCCTGCAGATCCGAGACACCATCATCATGGTACATCTCTCATCTCCGGTCTCACCATTTGTTCAGTTAGCAAATATATATGTCCATGACTCAATTGTGTGATACTCCCTCTTGAATTGGGGGAATTTCAGCCCGGGATAGCAAGCACAAGTACCATGATGAGAAGCGTCAAGATTTTGAGCTTGAATGTGCGTTTCGGAGTTCGCAATGAGGTCAAGATGGTGCCCAACTTTCTGAGATGCTTTCCCAACGCGGAGAGACTCCAAATTCTGGTATTTGTCATCAATCCATGTTCTGCTTGCATTTGTACCGATTTCTTGCTTCTTGTTGCCGGCTGTGATAGACTGGAGTATGCAATTAGAATGGTTGGGCTTGCATGTTCATCTGTTTATGTATGACATTTGTGAAGTTTTGTCGTGCCACAGTTTATAGTGCCATTGTTTTGATCTCTTTTTCTTTGCTTCTTGATTTCCTGGTTTTTCCAGATTTCCTTGTTTTAGTTTTTCGCGGTCTGTTCATGCTAGCTAGTAGTATTTGTGATGTGGAATGTGGATGATGCAAATGGCATGCAATGCTTATTTCAAACTGTTTAAACTACACACATAAATGTCTTGGCACTCGTATGTATGTGGTATGGATAACACATTTGCTGCTCCTAACAAATGCTACTCATACCATGTAATGCTTATTTGGCACGAATGCTATATGGTACAGACCTACTGGAATGCACATTTGCTGTCTAAAGTTTCTTGGAGGTCTGTACATTATACCACTCATTTCAAATTGATGCTACTACACTGATGCCACAGTATGCGGCACTTATCTCTGATTAAGTGATAGATTATTAACTGGTTGTCATGGCTCATGTCTGGAAGTTTGTGTTGGAGAGTACTTCTGGCATATTTTCACCTGACCTCGACGGTAGACTGAAACACTGCTGCCTCACTTTCTAAATTTGTTATAGGCGAGAAGCTGCATATATAGACTACTTTGTGTTAGTTTTCTCTAACAACATATAATTTGAGGCTTCCCTTATTCACCGTGTCGTGAGCCCACCTTCCTTGGATGGTTTCCCAACTGTTCACTGATTTAATCTATTTTTTTGCAGAGTGAGAAATGTGATAAACCCACTGGCAACCACCTGGGCCTCAAGTTCTGGGAAGAGTCTGGTCCCATCGAGAATGTCCTCTCGCGCATCAACGTGACGAGTATCCGTGAGTTCAGAGGGGACCCAGGTGAGGTTGGCTTCCTGGAGTTCATCTTCCGGAACGCGCTGGCACTGAAGACCGTGTCTGTTTCCATGGCCAATCCAAGCTTCACACCGTTCTCGACGGAGGAGGCATACGCCAAGGTGAAATATTGCTACAGGAACAAGGCGAGCAAGTCCTGCCAGATGGCTGTCATTGGGAGCACCGGCCCTTCAGGAGGTGAAGTTTGGAGGTTCAAAGACGGGGCAGATTTTTCTTTCCATGACCCCTTCTCCCAAGTGGAGGTCAGGTGAGCTTAGTTTCTGTGGAGAAGTGGACTGGCTGTTTTCTGATGCAAACTATGAAGTAAGTATGGTGTCTGTCTCTTGCTAGCCGTGCCCAGTGCCCTTGTGATGGTCCGTCGAATTTTGACGCTTGATGAGCTGATATTTTG